TCAAAGTATGAATTATATTTCTCCTTTTAAGAGACGACTCGCGTTTCGATTCTTTTGTTTGTTTCCTTTCCTGTTTCTCTGCACGTTTATTATTTGTTATTTATTTTAATAAATATGAGTTCAATAATAATAAATAATAATAAAATAAGGTATTTAAAACAGTTGCAGACTTTATACTGTAGAAAGCCGAAGTAGGTTTCTGAAGTTTTTTGGATGACTGAATGAACGAGGAGATTCATCCATCTTTGCTCACTGGCGTCAGCTGCTGTGATTGTTGTGAGTTCTGCAGAACTTCAGTGATTGGTTGTGAGGTTCTGCAGAACTCTATGATTGGTTGTTGAGGTTCTGCAGAAACTCTTCAGTATTGTTGTGAGGTTCTGCAGAACTCTCAGTGAATTGGTTGAAGCTCTCTCTCTGTGTGAACCGCTCATTAACTCGACTGTCCTTCACAGACAAGCTTTGATCGTGCGTCCATGCCACCCTCGGGGGCCTAACCGCACCGGATAACCTGATCTGCAGGTGAGGACGTAGACGACCAGTAGGCAGGGTCAAGCGTGTAATCCATTACAGTCACAGACAGAACAGATACAGTTACATTTGGGGATTATAGCTCTCCACTACTTTGATGCTAAATCTTCCATTTTTTCTTTAAAAGTCAAAATCACCTCGTTGATATTCTCCTGTCTTTATTTGGTGTTGATGTAATCCAAAATAGCAGAAGTATAATCCAGGTTACAATTACTTTATTATTGTAATTATAACTGTATCAGATTCCACGTGTAATCCTGTGTTTAACATCTGCGTCTGACCTGCAGGTATACTGAATAGACGTTGATGGGATGGATCCTAAAAAGAGGCATGTGGCTGTGTGAGTGCTCCGTGTTATTGTCTCTTTATGTTAAATGTTTAAACGATCACTGAATTGAGAGTGAAAGATCCTGAAATGTGGTTCTGCCTCAGTGTTTAAACTCGTCGCGGGCCACGCTATCGAAAGACACAAACTACCTGGAAAGATCTCCAGCGTGGGACCGAAGAGGAGGTTGAGACCATACGTCCAGAGTTCCACGTACATCAGAGACAGAGGCATACAGATGTTCACAGGAAGTTAGTGAACTGTAGTTGGAGCGCTCGCAGTCAGCCGGTTGGAGCTCAGCTCAGGGACATGGTTACAGTAAAACAGCGCTTCAGTTACTGATTTTGCACCGAGGTGATGCTTCACCTTTATAACCTTCATCATCATCGTTATAACATCCGACCGTCTGCTCTGCTTTGATCTCCTGACGCAGTAACGAGGGATGAGATCTCTCTTCTTGAGACAGACAGAGAGAGAGAGTGAATGAGACAGAGTGAGAGAAAGAGAGACAGAAACAGAGAGAGAGAGAGAGAGAGAGAGTGTGAGTGTACCAGAGACTGTGTTGTTGGGAAGGGCTGCAGGTCTTTGGGTTTTGGAAGTTTGGGAATCAGATCTTCTGGATTCACGTTCACCTGGAGACAGACAGGAAGAGAGACAGTCAGTGAGTGCTGTGTCCTGATTGGCTGTCCCACTGTACTCAGCTGTGTTAGTTACCCTCATCTTTCGCTGGCGTGGGCACAGGTAAAGGTCGAGGCAGCGCTCGAACCTCTCGTGAATGAACCGAGGAAATGCTGGAACCTGACGGAGGCTGGAGAACCTCTGTGGAACAAATGGGAACTTCCTGTCTGACAGATCCTGCTGCTCCCATAGAGCCCTCTGCAGACAGACAGCTACAGACAGCTACAGACAGCCGTTATCTACCACCCCGACTCCTCTGACTTCCTGAGCCAGCTTTGTATGATACACCAGAGATTGTACTGATCAATACACAGGGATTATTAGTATTGTTGTTATTGTTGTTGCTATTGTTACTACAGACATGTACAGAGACAGACAGGTACAGAGACAGACAGGTACAGAGACAGACAGGTACCTCCTCGTCAGTGAACAGGTACTCAGGTGGGGGGTTGTAGGACTCGTGGTGACCAGGTAGGGGGATTTTTGGGGCGGGCAGGTGCATCCTGTGTTTTGCGAGGATAGAAGAGTCCTCATTGGTCCAGAGGTCGTAGTACCGCCCCCTGCTGTCGTCATCCTGCCGCCGCGGTTTGATCCAACCCATCTTTATGGCGTGGACCAGTTTGGAGACCTTCTCCTTCTCAATGAGGGACGGGATGAAACTGCGCTTGTCTGCCGGTCTGTTGGATACCGGGTGGACCATCAGGTCTCCACTGAAGAACTCCACCTGGGGCTGAGGAGAACCAGAACAATACATCTCAAACCTGAGACACCTGAGGAACCCACTGAGGATCCCCCCTGAGGAACCCCCTGAGGATCCCCCCTGAGGAATCCTCCGAGGAACCCCTGAGGAACCCCCGAGGAACCCCCTGAGGATCCCACTGAGGAACCCCTGAGCTTACCTGGTACTCGTTGAAGTTGACGTCTCCAAACTGTCCTCTCTGCAGACGGTTCACCAGCTCCACCTGCTCATCCGACAGCACAATGTCACTTCCTGTCTGCTTATCGTGGACCGTTCTCCTGCAGACAAACAGAACACTGTTAGCATATTTAGCATTCCCTGTGTAAACTAATGGGGGAGCTAGCATTATGCTAGTAGGCTGACCAATAGTCTGGGTTCTCCATTTTGTCCAGGAAGTCGTCAAGCTCGTCCTTGTTCCTGATTGGTTTGTAGATCTTCTTCCCGTCCAGGTCGTAGCCAATGTGAGGGAAGTCTCTGTACCACTCCATGGGAATGTTCCCCACTGTGTTCCTTATGTCCTGCACAGGAACCACAACAACACCACTTAAGAACCTGACAGAACATTTAAGAACCCGATCAACGTCAGAGAACCAGACAGAAGTCTCACCTCTTCATCTGAAGAGTCACGTTCGTATTCGTCTTCTTGCTTTTTTTGGGTTACTCCTCCCTTCACCTCCTCTATCTGCAGGTAGAACCGAACACAGGTGAGGTTCTAGAGGAGAACACTCACAACACTGCTGAACATGTGTCACACACACACACACACACACACACACACACACACACAGACAGGTAAAACTCTACCTGCTCAGTCTCCTCTGGCCCTGTCGTCAGACCTTCATCATCACCATCTTCTTTGTCATTAGATCCTTCCTCTTCCTCTTCATCCTCACTGTCACTCCCAGAATCCTCCAGTCCTGAAAAGACACTGTCCTCACTGTCTGACAGATCTTCATCCTCCTCCTCCTCAGCAGGTTTCTTGTTGAAGTTGAAGATCTGAGGAAAAGTCAAACTTCTGAACACCGCACCAAACTCCATAAAACAACATGCGATTTTAGCAGTGCTTTCCTGATCAAATATGAACATTTTTAATTAAGGTTGGGAACCAGAATTAAAATGAGCATGAAGATATTTTATTGTGTAAATCTATAAAAGTACAGATATCTTTGAGGGTGGAATTAACTTTCTCTTCTCTCAGTCTAGCGAAGGTCGGTAACAGAATGAATCTAATTTAAGTAAAATAATGGAATTTGTTGTGTTGAATTGATCATCACACCAACCTTTTCCTGAACAGGTTTATTACAAACCAACATCTTAAACTGCCAGATTCTGAATGGAGTTTGGTGTGTGTGACTCTTAGCTCGACTCTGGAAGATAATGAAATAAATAATCCTGAAATAATCAGCAGAGCTAACAGGCTAACAGCAGCTAGCTGTCTGCTAACAGCTTTAACTAACATATGACTGCGTCCACAATAACGCTCTGTTTGTTAGTCTGTTGTTTATTTCACAAAGGTATGTTCGTTTCATCGCGGAACTGGTTATCATTAGACCCTGATCCAGAGCAGCCCAGCAGGAGGTCTACAAAGGTCCACGGTGGTCCACTGGAGAGGAGTTCAGTCCATGTTACAGCACGGAGTCTCCAGACCTCCGTTACAACGGGACCCGCTGTCACCAACGGAGCATTATCGATATTACAACTATTGGTTCACAGTATTGATCTCCAGCTCTCACACTGCATGCTAACAGCTAGCCGCCAGCCTCTCCCCAGTCTGCCTGTGTGTCTGTCTGGCTGTCTGTCTGTCTGTAGCTGTCTGTCTGTCTGTCTGTCTCAC